GGTTTATTTCTATGGCTTCTCTAATTTTACGTTTAGCCGCAAACATACCATAATCAGAAAAACGACAAGTGTGAGACCATTCAATCTCCTGTCCAGTTTCTGCCCTGTACTCAGCAAGCTCCGATTTTTAAACCAAACAGCTTTTGCAGGCGCTCGTTTCTAAATAGGATAAGTGCCTAACTAAAATAATTTCTGAAGCAAAGTAGGGTGGGATTAATTAGCAAAGACCCATTACCATTGCCTTCATAGTGCAACAACTAATTTAGGTGCATGAACTTGTGCAAGGTTTGAAATCATATTCGTAATTTATAATATAAGTGTAGCAAGAGGAATCGAACCAAATTCAATAGACAGAGATAAACTCTAAATGAGAGCAATTCTATCAAAAACAAATAGCAGCTCAAGGCTAATAATACAACTAAGATAATTATGAAATATAAGTTTGCTGCATACACGCACAAGTACACGAATATATAAAAACTTAATTAGGCTTGGAATAATTTAATAAATATTTTCGACAAAGACAGGTCCAAAAAAGAGTTGTGTTGCAACTTACTCTTAAATCACAATTAGAATTCAACAAAATATTGCAAGGCTTTAAATCCCTATGCAAGACATTTGCTGAATGAATATACTTAAGGCCTAGCAAAATAAGAAGCAATGCTACTTACCTCGAAGCATTTGATAGAGGAAGTAACAAATATGATCGTTGCTGAGCTTTTGAGTTTTGAGTAACCTGTGCAAATCAGTTTCCATAAAGCATTCAATAATATAGCTTGAAGCGGTTAAGAGTATAGTTAAAATATTCTTACACATCCTTCATCTCATCTATTGATTTAGCAGTAATAATGTCATATATTTGGATAATCTAATAAAGGAATAATATCCTGCATTATTTACGTTCTCATGGTCCATTCTGCTAAGTATGCGAATTTCTCTGTACGTTCTTTGGCAATACGTTTGGTGCTCGAATGGAGAGATTTTCTTTATAGCAACTTTTTCATTTCGCTTTGTGTCAAGCGCTGAACTTTAGAAATAATAACTCCAAAGCAAAATTTTACTTACACAACCATTCCATAAGCACCCTCACCAATATACGTCAAATCGGTAAATCGAGGACCAACTTCAAATATCTGGCCTCTAACTGAGTATGAACCTGATTCATTGCTCATTTTAAAGCCTAGTAGAAAAGCCAAATGAGATCGGGAAAGCTGAAAGCCAGCATAAAATGAAAGAATACGTACTACATTGAAATGAACACCGCTGTTTACCTATATAACTCACTATTAAATATAGTTATCTAAAATAACTATGCTCAAACCCAAATATATTAATAAATAATTTTATATCCCTTTATTTATTTCTAAATATTTTATAATTAATA